AGTCAGGAAGTATGTACAACCATTTTAAAAATCTAAAGACTTAATTACAGAATAGGGTATAAATATTATTAATTTTGAAGATCTAAAAAAAGATGGTATAAATGACAGGATTTGAGATTAAATGTAGAAGAAAATATTAGGGAGACTCATTTCTTCATTTTACTTAGTGGGGACCTCAGATTGATGAATTGAGTGAAGACTGCTGTAAATCTGTGTTTTAGAGTTATGGGGTAACCACCAAAAATATTGAAAATGGTTAAATTGGCTAAAAGTGGGAGTTGGGGGAAGGATTTTACTCTTCCATTATAATTCTTTTGATGATTTAGAATAAAATTATGTTCGTGTGTTTTGAATAATTTCTAAAGGAAGATTGATAAAAATTGCAAATTCTCTCTTTCATTCCTTCTTAAGTTCTTCATTCTGCCCTCAAATTCCTTAGAAGAATTTCTCAATTATAAACACTGGTATTGGGATGCCTGGGTGGCTCAGTCTGTTAAGGGTCTGCCTTTGGCTCTGGTCATGATCCCAGGGTCCTGGGATCGAGTCCCACATCGGGCTCCTTGCTCAGCAGGGAGCCTGCTTCTCCCTCTGTCTGCTGTTCCCGCTGCTTGTGCTCTCTGACAAATAAATAAATCTTTTAAATGCACAAACAAAACACTGGTATTGCCTTAGAGAAGAACAACTGGAAAGATGGAGGAGAAGAAGGAAGACTTGTTTTTACTTAAATAATCATTCTGTACTCCTGGACTTCTAAAATAATGGGCCTGTTATAGTTTAATGACAGACAGTTATGAATTTAAAGTGAGAGAGTAGGGGCACCTGGGTGGCTCAGTCGTTAAGCATCTGCCTTTGGCTCAGGTCATGATCCCAGGGTCCTGGGATCGAGCCTGCATCGGGCTCCCTGCTCAGTGGGAGGCCTGCTTCTCCCTCTCCTTCTCCCCCTGCTTGTGTTCCCTCTCTCGCTGACTCTCTCTGTCAAATAAATAAATTCTTTAAAAAAAAATAAAAAAAATAATATAAAGTAAGAGAGTGAAATCCATACTCTTTTGAGAGACAATTGAAAATGATGCATATTAAATGAAAAAGGCAAAGTGTGTATAGCATACTATTAAAAGGTACACTTCCCTTGTCTATATATAGGCTATTACAGGAAAGAATCACGAGAAACTCGTAACTAATAGCTTCTGAGGAAGGAACTGGATGGTTGGAGAATGGGTCCAGGGGAAGGGGACTTTTACTGAATGTCCTTTAAATTTTGTGCCATGTGAATTTATTATCTTTTCAAGTAACTATGTTTAAAAGACTGCTATGTATATTATAAATGATTCTGGAACAAGAGGAATTTTACTTTTTATCTGTAATTTGTGATATATTGTCAAGTGGTGTCAGAATTATGTGGTTTAAGACCTCATAAACTCTGATAGAATATGGTTATTGCATTTTCACTTCGCAAAACCATGTATGTGGTATTACAACCAGAGTTTTGACATTGATTTATATGACTTTTAAAGATACATTTAAGATCTTTTTTCTCAAAGGGATTGAATTAAGGATAGATATAGGTCTTGGTGGTATTGAAGGACTGAATTTTGCTAGGTCCTCTATGCGTTTTCAATATTTCAAATGATTGCCCTAGTGTTTTCAATATATTTCTTTAATTAGTCACAGTCTGTTTTTAAATATTATACTACTTCATGTGTGAATAAGGATCTCACATTAGTATGCTCCCAATTCTTCCTCTCTCTCTTTTGTGCTATTGTTATGTATTTTACTTTTACATATGTTTTAAACCCATGATACATTGATACTATGTTTGCTTTTTACCTTTATCTTTCTGAGTGATTAAAAATTTTAAAAATTGTCATATTTACCTTTAATTTAACCATTTCTGGAGCGCTTTAGTTTTTTTTTGTTGTTGTTGTTTTAAGATTGAGGTTCCCATCTGGAACTTATGTTCTATCTGCTTTTGAAGAATTGCCTTTAACATTTCTTGTAGTACAAGTCTGCTAGAAATGCATTCTCTCAGCTTTGTTTAAACAGTCTCTATTTCCCTTTCATTAAAAAAAAAAAATTCTAGATCAAGAACTCTGGATTGACAGTTTTTTCCTTTTGTCACTTAAAAGATTTGCATAATTTCTGATGAGAAGTCTGCTGTAATTCTTATCTTCATTCTTCTGCATGTAAAGTCTTTTCTCCTTTGTCTGCCAAGATTTTCTTTTTAACTTTGCTTTTCAGGAGTTTGAATATCATGTGTCTAGATGTGCATTTGTGTGTGTGTGTGTTTATGTGTGTATTCTGTTTGGGATTTGCTGAGCTCAGAACTGTAGTTTGGTGTCTTTTATTATTTTTGGAAAATTCTCAACTAAAATATTTTTTCTACCCTATTCTCTCTCCTTTTGGTATTCAAAGTATGCATATACTAGATGATTTGATACCATCCCACTCTTCTTGGATAGTGTGTTCAGTTTGTATTTTCTCACTCTGTTTCCCTGTGTGTGTTTACTGTTGGGTTATTATATTGACTATCTTCAATTTCATGGATTCTTTAGCTGTGTTGAGTGTACTGATGAATCTATTGCAGCAGCCCTCTGTCCAGCTTTCTTTTACCTTAGCCTAGTATCCCTGTGCTTTCTGGTATGTTCTTCAAATCTGAGCCTGATCCACATCTCCCTTCCCTTTTCCCTTTTAGGTATTGTGTAAACATTGATGATAGAATTATATGTTTGAATTTTTTGTTTTTTAAGATTTTATTTATTTGTCAGAGAGAGAGAGCACGAGCGCACAAGCAGGGGGAGTGGCAGACAGAGCAGGCAGAGGGAGAAGCAGGCTCCCCACTGAGCAAGGAGCTTGATGTGGGGCTCAATTCCAGGACCCTGAGATCACGACCCGAGCCAACGGCAGACACCCAACTGACTGAGCCACCCAGGTGTCCCATATGTTTGAATTTTGTCACAGTCTGTTCATATAGAACCAAATTTTATTCCTAGTGAGATATAATTTTATAAAAATAGCTTATGGACTGTTCTGTTCCCAAGAAGCACTCTAGATTCTGATTTATAGATTTACTTACTCTGTTGCTCATAAATAGGAATAATAAGAATAATATGGTAAATAGTAGTAGCTCAGATTTATTGAGTGTTTACTATCTGGCAGGCATTATGCTAAATACACATAGTATTGTCTCTGGGGGGTTACCCCCCCCTCTCCAAGGAGGACGCTTTTGTTGGTAATTGGGCTGGTTGCACAGAGCAGGAACAGTGACTGCACGGCCTCTCCGCCTCCAGACTCAAAAGTGGAATTGAAATGAAACAAAGGCCCTTTTACTTTCTGAACCCTTGGTGGCAGCACACAGTTGCTGGTGATACTTCAGACTCAAGATAGTTTCTCACCGGATTTGAGAAACTTTGTTTTTTACTGTGTCCTTTTATTACTGAGGTATTATGTCACCATTCGGGAAGAGTTTACATGAATAAGTGGTGCCCTTAATAAGATGTATTTACACATACCCATGACCTCCTGGCTCTTGAGTCAGACTCATTTGTGGGGAGAAGGCAGACGAGGACCTTCTTGAGCATTTTGGTTTTTTTTTTTTTTTTTGGTCTGCAGCTTCTCAGCAGTTTAGAAGCCTGTTTTGCCACACCTGTGTTTTCTTTTTTTCACAATGGCTTCATGATACAGATACTGGAATTCTTTTTTTCTTTCTTTTTTTTTTAAAGATTTTATTTGAGAGAGAGAGAGCGTGAGCTGGGTGGGGGGAGGGCACAGAGGGAGAGGGAGAAGCAGACTCCACCACTGAGCAGGGAGCCCCATGTGGGACTCAATCCCAGGATCCTGAGATCATGACCTGAGCCAGAGGCAGACACTTAACCGACTGAGCCACCCAGGCGCCCCAGATACTGTAATTCTTATTTTATAGAAAAGAAATTGGGGATTAGAAGTAGTAAGTAATTTGCCCATGGTCACACAGTGTATACGTGAGCAGGAGCAGGGTTCAAACCAGGCTGCGTTATAAGGTGCTTTACCTTACCAGAAGGGATGGCTCCACTTGAACTCAGGTACAAAGGGTTGTATTTCTAAATTAGTGATGGTGCATTGTGCATCTAGCTTTTTTTTTTTTTTTAGCTTTGAAGATCAAATACTATCTTCAGATGAAAGTTTTATATCTAGGAAAACAGATGGGAGCAATTTCCTAAGGCCCTGGGTCAAGGTTTTGTATAGGTGGGCTTTAAATGTTACGCCCTGAGGAATAAAAACTGGAACTGAAATGAAACAGGCCCTTTTACCTTACCCTGCATCCACACTCCATTTATTGTAGGTTTAAAAGTAGCATGTCTTTGTGACTATAGGTAAATTAACACCTGGACTATCTTTAGTAGTGGAGAACTAGAAACTATTGTAGGTCTGATGGCCTCAAAGTGAGGCCTTGTAGGTGGGGCTCTTCTGAAACTGATGGGAAACTCTGAAATTCTTTCTACTCAGTTGTAATTTCAAAATTTGTCACCAAGAAGGTGTGTGTGAAGTGTGCCAATGGTAGAAATGGCATAAGGAGATAATTGATAGTTATTGATAATTGATAACTATTGATAGTTAATTCTTGGGTGTGATTTATTTTCTGTTGGTGCTCATTAATCAGGCCAAGCTCTTTTGTTAGATCCTGGGAAAGGCAAGCTACTTTCCACAGCATACAGGTTTTTGCCTTTGGTGCCAGTTCACAAGAGGTTTAAGTAAGAAAATGTGTATTGATTAGCACAGATTCACGGCCAGTATTAGAAATGTAACTCAAAAATCTTACTTTACTAGTGGTGTGATATCACTATCACATTTATATTTTGAGACTAGCATTTAATAGGAAGAGCCTAGTTGTATTATTATATGGCATTTATTAACCTCAAATGATTTAATAGAAAACATTTCTTTCTCTTTCAAAACAGTGAGATGGAATAACTTGTTTAGAGAGTTTTCAAGTTATTTTAATATATTTGTGGCTCTTTTTTTTGAAGCTTCCAATTGAAGACTTATGTAGCATAACATCCCAGTCGCTGCCCATTGCACAGACTTCAGTAGTACCCGAATCTACAGAAGACATTCTCTCGAAGGGTTTCACTTCCTTAGAAATGGAAGAAGAAAGAATTGAAACTGCGCAGCAGGTGAATGGCAGTGTTGTTGCTAAGGGCGTTTGATTATTCTAAATATCTCAAGACAGGGCTAATAAAAATGCTCTAATTAAAAGTTCTGAACATTTGAAACTATAGTTAACATCAGATCTTTCTAGAACAGTCTTGATTTTGTGTTAGCTATGGCTGTTTTGTTAAGTGTTGTAAATTAACCTATTGCCCAATTATACTTGAAATACAGATAAAGATACGATATTCCAAGTGTGGATGTTGATAGCTAGTCATTAGGGTTTTAATATTCCATGCACTTTTGACTTCCCCCAGTGTATATGTTAATGTGTCCCCCCCAGCATGCGTGTGTGTGTGCACATACTCGCACATGTGCGCACACACCCCTCTGCTTGTTGCTATGTAATTTCTTTTTTTAAGAACCTAAGTGTTCTCTTTAGGTGAATCCTTATAGTTATTTTTCAGTAGTTTACATGTGTAATCTTCCCTTGATTTTTATTTATTCCTAATTATAAACCTAAATGTATAGCAGTTCCTTCTGCCGCTTCCCATCTCTTCTTTCTGCCCTGTAAAAATCAAAGCCTGGGGATTTACCAAGTAAAACAAAAAGCAAGCATGCTGAATTGCATATGTAGTAAGTCAAGAGGCGGTGCTGCAGAGTGAAAAAGAGCTCCACCTCTTGAGATAGGCCACCCTGGATCTGAAAGTCACTTCCATCACTTACCATCCTTGTGAGTTTAGGCAAATTACTTACATCTTAGGCTTTTAGTTTTCTAATCTGTAAAACAAGGATGATTGTATACCCATCTCATGGGGTTTTTCTGAAAATTAGATAATGCATACCCTGTATGGCAGGCACACAGTGTCCGGTAAATGATGGCTAAGGTACTTGGCAAGCCTTGTATCTTGAGAGAATAAAGCATACCCTTGACTTCAAATCCCACTTGAGAATTATAGAAGATAATCTTATGCTGTGTCAATGACTTATTTGGACTATTTGGAAAAAAAAAAGTCATCTGGGCTAAATTTGTACCTATGTATCTCTCTTTAAATTTTTAAAAAAGCTAGTATATTGAGTTATAATTTATACACAATAAAATATACTCGTTTTAAGTATTTTGCTTGATGAGTTTTGACAAGTTTAACTACCATTATGATCAAGATATAAAACATTTCCATTATCCTTCATGCTTCTTTGTCAGTCTTCTCCACCGCTTTTTAGTAGTATTTTTCATGACTTATGATATAGGTGGCAGGGCCATAACTCAAACCCAGGTTTAGCTGATACAAAAATTCATGTTCTTAATCCACTCTGTTATATTATTTCAGTTTATATTTTTTCACTTCTTATTAGATAACATTAATATTAACATTTACCCAAAAACCCTAAGTTACCTATTCAAATTGAGCAAAGTAGCAAATGGGCATTAGCCTCTTAGGAAGAAATATGTATTTTTTACATATTGTATCTTTAATACTCCTCCTTGTTTGACTCTGGATATGACCAATGTTTTTAATATCCTTTGCTTTTCCTAGCATGTAGATATTGATTATGGAATTAAATTGTTATCGCCTGGTTAAAAGTAATTACTAATGTCTGATCCCCAAACAATAAGACTTAGTGTATACCCTTTTTACTTGCTGTTTAGCATGTAGCCACTTTTCATTTTGTCTGTTTTAGTTTTGTTGACAATATAATACTCTTTGTTTTTCCAGTTTTTCTCATGGTTTGCAAAGCTGCAAACTCAGATGGATCAGGATGAAGAAACTAAGTACAGGTATGTGGTTCTTGAGTTTGTTGGCTACCTTGATTTTTAAATCATACTCATCTGCAGCATTTTGTAATCTGTGTCTTCAAACAAAATTAAGGTACAAAGAAAGTTCCAACAGGAACATTTTCTTTAAAAAGAGCTAGAGAGAAATTGTGTGATTTAAAAAAAATAGTTATATCATAATAGGTGAGGAGGTACAGACATGGTTTTTAGATAATTCTAGAAAGGTTTGGGTTCAAGTGGGAATTTTACAGGAACTGTAAGAGATATTTGTTGCTTTTCTTTAGAAGTAGAGACCCAAGAGATTTTAGGGATGCCCACCTAGACTGGGTGTAATAACTATGTTGTTCTGTTTGTTTATAGTGTAAGCATGGAAGAAATGATGGTGCATAGTTTCTAGCTGATTTGGGGACTGTGGGTTGAATAACTGCATTTATTTAACATTTATTAGGTGTTATTGCTAGGCAGTGTGTTAGGCTCTTTGATACATAATTCCACTTAATCTTTATAGCAGCTATGTGAGGAAAGGTATTATTTTTCCCATTTTACAAATGTGCAAACTGAGGCCTGAAAGTATTAAGTAACTTGCCTAATGTCATAGAGAGTTGGGCAGAGCTGGGACTTATACTCAGGTCTTCTAATTCCAAGTCCAAAATTCTTTCCATGACATTACACCATCATGGGATTTTTGGCATACGTGACCTAAGGGATTGACCTATTCCATATCTTGGATGGCCCTAGTGTCCTAGTTTTTGAAAGTTGGGCGGGTGATTTCTTGCCTTATGTGTGAAAAGCCAGCTTGTGGCGTCAAGGCTGACTCCTTTTGTTGCTTATAGTTGCAGTGATTTCCTTCTAAATTACTCAAAAAGGTGTTAACATAGTTTTTGAATATAATAAGCTTTAGTGAATGGTCAGACTTCTCTTCTGAAATTCAAGCATTTGGGGAAAAATGAGACTTTGTTGTTTATTGACTCTGCTTATTGGGGGAAAATATTATTGCCAATCCCCTTTTGGTTCTGTTTTCTAGACAGATGAGGGATTACTTGTCTGGGTTTCAGGAGCAGTGTGATGCTATATTGAATGATGTAAACAGTGCTCTACAGCATCTGGAATCATTGCAGAAACAGTATCTTTTTGTGTCCAATAAGACAGGAACCCTACATGAAGCCTGTGAACAGCTCCTAAAAGAACAGGTAATATGGAGTATGGGAAAGGGTTAGTGATTGTATTTAATATTTTATTTTTAAGTAGATGAATAGAATTTAATTGTAATTTCTCTACTTTCTCCAAGTATATATTGAACTCTGCTCTGTATGAGGCCTTGTGCTAAGCATGCAAATTGTTATATTGTTAGACTTTTTTATTTTAAATAAGCTTACACGAGTGAACTAGGCAAGGCAAGCTTTCCTATGTTTTGAGCTGTTACATCTCAGCCCAATTTCAGAGTGAAGAGCATACATTAGTTTGCTCTGTGTATGTTTTACTATTGACACTTCAGACAAGCACAGTGATTGTAGTAATGGTGGGGTTTATGAAAAGATGAACTGATCTAGATTGCAGTTAAATTTATGATTTAAAGATAGAACATTTAAGTTACTTTATCTGAGTTTTCTCTGTGTATTTTGAGTTCTTTTAAAAGGCAATTATTTATTGTTTTATAAAAGATCATATGTAAGTTTCTGTACTAATCATTGCTTATTAGTCCATAATTGCAGAAATCTTTGAGCATTAGTCTGAAATCTTATGTGTAACATAAACCTATCTGTCTGGTATAAATCTATTCATGTAATTTTGAGACTGGAGTGTTGATTCTTACGTTCTTACGCTAATTTTTTTTTCTTTTAAAAAACGCAAGTCGGAACTTGTTGATCTGGCTGAAAACATTCAACAAAAGCTTTCCTATTTTAATGAGTTGGAAACTATTAACACAGTAAGCATGGTTTTTTACTTTTTGTAAAGTTAATGACCTTATTTTATATTTCCCTTTCTGAATATAATTTTTAAATTTATAAATTGGCCTGAGTGATATTTGAACTTAATAGTTTGCTTGCTGATAGATATTCCTCTTTGTACCTGATGGAGATATCATTACCAGTTCAGATTTTTTCAAATATGATTTAAGTAGTAGTTCTTAAGTTATATTATTGTTATTAAAATCTTTGTCAGTTACCACTTATAGTATCTTATTTGTAAGCTGTGAAGATTGTAAGAAGAAATATTAAATTTTAAATCTTGCTGTGGTTGTGCTATTATTAGTAATCAAAACATTTTTTGAATTAATCTCATGTTTAATTTGAAGTATAGTCCTTATAATGCATGCCTGTATCACAAAGTAATAGTCTCAATTAAAACTGCTGTGTAAATTATATTCCTCTGTCTTTCTGGCTCATAAATCATAATTACTACATATAAATTATTAAAATCGTTAAATTAATCATAATTATTATGGTTTACTACAGAGTTAGAAAACTAGGAGCTAGTTAACAATGGAATACAAGGAAATTGTTCATTGCCAAGCTATCAAGATAAATAATTGTCTGTTTTTTTTACATTTTAACATACATTACTTATATTTTTGTATATTTATATTATATTAAAGATGTATGTTATATAGTTTTATATATTCTAATGTGTAGTTTTATATAAAGTACTGAACGTTTATGTTATGTATTACTCATATTTATACTTACATTATTATTGTATATATTTTTATAAATGCTTACTTATATTTTACTTATATATGTTTTACTTTTGTAATATGACTGCTAAACATAGGTATGACTGCTAGTTAATCCTTTAACCTTTAGAAAATCACCAGTGTTTGAAAGTAGGAAATTTGTATATGTTTAAAGTACTAGAAAATGGGAAATCTAGGTAGTTGATGTGTTATTTTAGTATAACATTGTACAGTGGGGTAATATAAATATTTGTTAATTTATGAAGAGCCCCCTTAAAGCTCATTAGGAATAAACTGAATTAAATCAGTATTGTTTTTTTGTCCTTTCTTTATTATTACACGTGGGCTATATTTGAGGATATTTTGGTGATTCTTACAATGTAAATATATTAGTATGACTGTGTTATAGCTTAATGGGAAATATGCTAAATCTAATACATAATTTTCAACTTTGCCTGTATATTTTTTGTGAATTAAGATTTTTTTTTTCCCTTAAAGAAATTGAATTCTCCTACGTTGTCTGTTAATAGTGAAGGATTCATACCTATGCTGGCCAAGTTAGATGATTGTATAACATATATCTCATCACATGTAAGTCATGGTATTTCTGTATGTTTGTAAGATATAGTAACATCCCTATTTTATCATTTCTTATGCTTTAAAGTAATTATTTCTTCTGAAGGGAAAAATATGTCTGTAATATAGTTGAAGAAAGACTGTAGTAAATTCTTAATCATTGTCAGTAGTGATGTAAAAAAGTATTTTCAGCTGCTGAGGCAACCCCTGGAGTCGAAAGAGGTCCTGGCTGACAGAGTTTTATGCCGCCTAAAAGGATGAGTGGTTTTTAGGCTGTTGACTTCCTAATGTTTTAGATATTTCTTTGACAAACAAAAAGTGTTACTTGGGAGGAAATAAAGGAACAGGCCCTTTGATTTAATCACCCTCTTTCTATCCCCCAAGGATTTATAGCTGTACAGGTTTCCCCCACTATCTGAAAGTAGAATGTTCCCATGAAACCTTTTGTAAGCCAAAATGGCATAGAGCGAAAAAGCAGTTACCATTTCAGAAAAGTGAAAATCCTCTTTGGATTTCTTTTGGTTAGTGAGAACAGGTACGATTATAAGTCTTTTGTAAAAGCCAAATGGCGTGAAGTAAGCTTTTGGTTGGGCGGGTGCGAGGGAGGGGCAGCCTGTATTCATCTTTGCCGAGCTTACCATCTGTATAAGACCATATAAAGGACAGGTTTGTTTTCATAGTTTACTCTGCCTATGTTTGTTTTCTCTTTGTAAATCTTTCCCTCTCCTTTACAGCCAAATTTTAAAGATTATCCTGTATATTTGCTGAAATTTAAGCAGTGTCTTTCTAAAGCTTTGCACCTCATGAAGACATACACTGTGAACACACTACAAAACCTCACAAATCAGTTACTAAAAAGGGTGAGTTAACTGGTGAAGTGTTTTTTCTTTTCTTTTTCTTTTTTTATTCATTTATCTTCCATAATCTAAGTGTGAGATGACTACTTAGTAACTCTAAAAACTTTTTTTTACCTTTTGTTAAATAAGATTATGCATCAGTTTTATTTATAATAGAAAAAAAATGGCTGTATTATATCTGTCCATCAGAATCTTATTTTCAAAGAATATTTAATAGTGTGAGAAGTACTCAGTACTATATGGTAAGTACTGAGATTCAAACTGTTTGTCACTTAAAACATTTTCTTATCTAATTCATGAAAATATTGGAAGGAAATACACCAAAATGATAAAAGTGGTTCTGTGTTAGTGGTGGGATTACATATGATGGATACTTTGAATTTTTTTCTTTATGTATGATAGATAATTTTCTGTGTTTAGCAAATGTATTTTTATTGAGTGCCTTCTCAATGCTTGGCATTGTACTGGGAACCGTACAGTAGCGATAAGGAGCCAGTAAGGTCCCTGGGCTCATGGGGCTTATGTTCAGGAGAAGTAATCATCGAAGAAGGAAACAAAAAAATTGATCAGTTACAGATGGAGCAAGCAAGCTAGGTGGAAATTGAGCAGAGTGTTATGTTAGAAAAGTAAGAATACAGCTAGCTAAGATAGTCATTGAACACATTTCTTTCATAAAATAAAATCATAAAGATTATACATTTTATTTTGTGAGCTCAGTTTCTAAAGAACATGGAATATCTTCTTAAATTTTCAGTTTGGTTCAAAGCCACTGATTTTGGGGTTGCAGTTTAGTGTTCACATTGCTCTTAGCTGATATGAAGGCCAGACTATATAATTTTTCTATTTTGTAAAATTTTTATTTTATTTTATTTTTTTATTTTTTATTTTTTTAAAGATTTTATTTATTTATTTGAGAGAGAGAGA